TATCATCAAAGCTCATCATAACTTATTAAGCTCTTAATCAGGTAAACAACATACTCACATGTTGTAAAACAAGTTAAGAACTAGTTCAAAGGTCGATACGCTACTTACCTGGTTTCGAATCCCTTTCTCTCTTGATTGTACATTTAATAGGGTATTTCCACACAATTCCTTCCAATTAGACCTATATTTCACCATTTTCACGGTAAGTATAGGTCAATCTAGGTAGAACAGGTCAAAACAAATCGAACGAAACAAACCGGGAACCGAACTGACGCTTCACGCGCCCTCACGCGCCTCTGTGTGTCTGTCCCACGCGCCAGGAGCACGCCCAGTCGCACGCCCAGTCGCGGCCCTCACGCGCTCCTTCTTCTTCCTTGCGTTTTTCTGAAATTTTCCCCTTTTCTGTTAATACCTACTATATCCCGAAGCCATATCCTCCTTCTACGGTTCGAATTTCATCCTGATTCCTTCTACAAATTTGTAGATCTCCTTATTACGTTTCTAACAAGCCATATATCATAACTTATTATACAATACGAACCAAGATATCGAGATTTAAAGGTTCGGTGATATGGGTTTTTTCGTTACCTTCGAATCACCGTCCGATTTCAGCTCGTGGCCGTATCCCCTTCCCCAAATGATTCCTCAGCAACAACTCCTCTTTCTTTACCCTCGATTAATGTCCAATTTTAAGCAACCAAAACTCGAATTCTCAAAAATTTCCTCCTCTGTTTTCTGGGTTTTTCGCTAATCACCATTCTTTGTTTTTCTTCTTTTTTAAAAACCTAATACAGCCCTAATACGCTTCCACATCCTTTATCTTCCTCTCTTTTCTTTCTTTTCCCTTCACACCTGTCCATTCTTCCTTTCTCCATGGCAGCAGCTTCAAGCTGCTGCTGTCTTCTTCTTCTTTTCTTCTTTTTTTTTTTATTATTATTATTATTATTATTATTATTATTATTATTTATTTATTTATTTTTATTTTTATTTAATTAATTTGTTAATTTATTAATTTATTTATTATTTTCGGGTTATTACAATTCTACCCTCCTTTTAAAAACTTTCGTCCTCGAAAGTTCCTAACTCTAGGAACAAATGTCAATATTCGAGTTTTAACTTTCTTCTTGTTCCCAAGTAGCTTTCCAAAATTATTGCTTCTTTCCTAAAACTTTAACGGAGGTAATGTCTCTGCTACGCAAAAATCTCCCGTATCAAATTTTAATAGCCTGTTCTCCGTAGCTTAGATTCTCTTCCACAGTAAATCTTTATAACGAAGAACGTACATAGGATCTTCAATATATTTACTTAACATCGAAACATAAAAAAAACATTATGTACAGCCTCTAATGCTAGTGACAATGCTAGTATGTAGGCTACTAGCCCAACTCTTTCGAGAATCACGAAGGTTCAATAAAACATTGGATAAGTTCTCCCCTCTTACCATATCCAACTCTACATTTCAAGAATAGGTGCGATCTTCAGGAACACGTGGTCCCCCATGTCAAACTCTAGGTCCTTCCTTCTAACATCAGCATAACTCTTCTGACGACTTTGAACGATCAGAATTCTTTTCCTAATCTTCTGTATCGCCTCATTGGCCATTCGTAACAAGTTTGGATCCAACTACTATTTTCTATCTACCTCATTCCAATAAATCGAAATTCGACACCTCCATCCATAACATGTCTAAAAAGAATCATCGGAATGGTTGCCTGAGAACTATTGTTATAGGCAAATTTAACCAGATACAGGTAGGTGTCCCAACCGCCAGCAAAATCATGTACACATGTCCTCAAGAATTTGATTTAATCTCTCAGTATGTCCCTCTGTTTGAGGATGAAACGTTATCCTAAACTTCAGTTGTATACCAAGGGCTTCCTGAAGATCCTTCCAGAATCGAGAAGTAAACCGCGTATCCCTATCTGATACCACAGAAACTGGTACACCATGCAACCTTACAATCTCCTTTAAATACAATTGTGCCCACTTGTCAACCGAATATGTAGACTTGCCTGGTATAAAATGGGCTGTCTTAGTTAATCTATCCACAACGACCCATATCACTGTAAACCCTAACTGGGTTCTCGGTAGTCCTGTAATGAAATCCATAGTCACTTCTTCCCACTTCCACTGAGGCACATTTAAAGGTTGCAATAATCCAGCTGGTTTCTGTCTAGGTGCTTTAACTTGTTGACAAGTTAAACACCTACTCATACATTCAGCAACATCTTTCTTCATCCCAGGCCACCAAAAGTATGTTTTCAAATCCTGATACATCTTTGTGGCACCTGGATGCACAGTATAGGGCGACTCATGCGCCTCAGATAGAATCTTCCTCTTGATCTCTACATCACACAAGTTCGGTTCTGCTACTTCAAACATCCATCACCCGTTATCCAGAAATCCTTGATTCCTCCAGTCTCAAGTTGCCTCACAACTTTTGAAAAATAAGGGTCCCCTTGCTGACCCCGAATAATTTGTTCCTGTAACGTCGGACAAATAGTCATAAGAGCTAGCTGAGCTGCCGCTTTCCTGACCAAGACAGCTATCTGGTCTCGTTCAAACTCCATCTAAATGTGGTGTTGTCTCGTTAGCATTGCAGATGAGTGAGCTGTCTTACGACTCAAGGCATCAGCTACCACATTAGCTTTACCAGGATGATGTAGGATCTCCACATCATAATCTTTTACCAACTCCAACCACCGACGTTGCCTCATGTTGAGCTCTTTCTAGGTGAACAGATATTTAAGACTCTTATGATCAGTATATACTTGTATCCTCTCACCATACAAATAATGTCTCCATATCTTCAGAGCAAACACCACATTACCAAGCTCGGCTCCAATCAAATTTCTTCCCTTTTCGGGTTAACTGAGTCAGTGGTGCAGCAATCCTTGCAAAGTCTTTAATAAAGCGCCTGAAATATCCGACTAAACCCAGAAAACTTCTCACCTCAATAACTGTAGTTGGTCGAACCCAACCTATAACTGCCTCCACCTTTGCTGGATCAACAGTTATACCATCCTTGGATACCACATGACCAAGGAATACTACCTTTTGAAGCCAAAATTCACATTTTGAGAACTTGGCATATAATCTTTGTTTACGCAGAACCAACAAAACCTTCCTCAAATGTTCTGCATGTTCATCGTTTGTCTTGGAATAAACCAAGATATCATCAATAAACACAATGACAAAAGAATCCAGAAAATCCTGGAATACCCGATTCATCAGTTCCATAAACACTGCAGGGGCATTAGTCAAGCCAAAAGACATCACGACAAATTCATAATGCCCATACCGAGTACGAAAAGCTGTCTTCGGTATGTCATTTTCTTTGACTCTTATCTGGTGATAACCAGAACGAAGATCAATCTTCGAAAATACCGCTGCCCCTTGAAGCTGGTCAAATAAGTCATCAATTCGTGGCAAGGGATACTTATTTTTTATGGTCACCTTATTCAGCTCCCTATAGTCAATGCAGAGACGAAGTGTGCCGTCCTTCTTTTTCACAAACAACACTGGAGCTCCCCATGGTGACACACTAGGTCGTATGAATCCCTGGTTCAACAATTCCTGTAATTGCAACTTCAACTCTTTCAATTCCGCGGGAGCCATCCTATAAGGAGCTTTAGAGATAGGTGTTGTCCTTGGTTCTAGTTCAATACCAAAGTTGACTTCCCGCTCTGGTGGTAAACCAGGTAATTTATCAGGAAAAACATCCAGGAATTCATTCACTACAGGTACAGTTGATACATCTGTATCCACTCGTCCCACTTCTACCACACTAGCCAGGAATGCCACAGCACCGTGACCAATTAGCTTCCTAGCCTTCAAAGCAGTAATTGTCTTGGGAACACTTCCCAGCTTTGTACCCTGAAACCGGAAGCTCTTTCCCATCGAGGGGTGAAAAACTATCTCCTTCTTATAACAATCAATACTAGCATGATGAGCAGACAGCCAATCCATGCCCAAAATAATATCGTAATCATACATATCTAGCACCATTAACAACACGTCTAATGTTTGGCCGGATACTTCTACTTTATTCAGTTTCACCTTTTCACGGGTCATCAACATGACTCCTGAAGGTGTAGAAACTAAAATCTCATAACCTAAAGGCTCTACTTCAAGTCGGGCTTGACAGACAAACGATAATGATATAAAAGAATGCGTCGAGCCAGAATCGAATACAGTATAAGCAAAATAGCCAGATATGGGTAAAGTACCTGTCACCACCGTGCTGGCATCCCCTGCTGCCTTGCTTGTCGTGGCAAAGGCTTTACCTCGAGCCTGAGGATGTCCCCCGGCACTCAACTGACCCCCACCTCCACCTGGAACAGATCGCTCGGGGCGCATCATATTAGGGTTCTTTGCACTACGACATACTCTGGCGAGATGACCAGTCTTGCCACAGTTATAACATATCTTGTCTGTAGCATTACAAGAACCCGCATGAGTTAACCCACATTTACTACAACCTGCCCTCCCTTCACCGGAATAAAGCCGGCGATCAACTCGTTGTGGTACCGTCTGCTGTTGCGAACCCGTGGATATTTGGAGAAATTTTCGTTTACCACTTGGCCGTACCTGACTGCTTGAACCCTGATTATTCCTCGGGGTGCTAGCATCTAACTTGACCGCAGCATTATAAGCCGTAACAAAATCTTGAGAAGCATGGGCAGACACGGATCCCTGTATTTCTTGCCTCAAACCCTGAATAAAGAGATCCGTCTTCTCTTCCTCAGTAGCAACCATAAGAGGAACAAATCTGGATAATCGTGTGAATTCCGCCTCATACTCCTCTACTGACCTATTACCCTGTTCCAATTGCATAAATGCTTTTCGGTTTCGCAATCTCGCTAGAGCAGGATAATACTTCTCACAAAACTCATGTCTAAAGGCCGCCCATGTGATTGGGGCTCCACCAGCCTCCATCTTCGGCTTCTTTGATTTCCACCAAAAATGGGCTGGCCCCTCCAACAAATACGTAGCACACAACACTTTATGGTTCTCTGGGAAGTTGTAGAATGTAAATTTTGTTTCAATACATTCCAGCCACCATTCAGCTGCCTAAGGATCAGTCTCTTTCCTCCAAGAGTTGGCGGTGTAAGTTTTATAAAATTTCATATGTATTCACTTTCCTTCGTCATACATCATCGCCCATAGGTTACTACCCGTAGTGGTCCCTCTGTCACTACCGTTGTACCAGGTAGCTCCTTCGAAATTGTTGGAGGTATCGCTACCTGAACACCTACTTGTGCTTCAGGCACTAGAGTCACATGGCTAGGTACAGGTGCTGCCGGAGCCGCCCACCTTCCAAAACCAGCAAAAGCTATCTGTACCACCTAATCCATTCGGCTCTGCACCGCTTGATTCACTTAACTTTGAATCAGCGATTGCAAGGCCTCCAGAGTAATAACAACAGTCGGCTGATCTCTAGATGCCGACTGAGAAGTAGTCTCCGGAATCGCCACTGCTGGAGCAGTTCCTTCTATAGGCTGCCCCTCAATCCCAGGTCCACATTGGACATTCTAGGGTCTAAACATTTTAACACTACCATATCTGTTATACACATAATCAAGTATTCATAATCAATTCTTTTAAACTTTCATACTATTCTTCCATACAATTTAGTCATGCATCAGTTACCTGACCGAGGTGAGATACCGTTGAGCTGGACTAAAGGGATCCATACTGTCTATTCTAGACTGTCTACAGAACCTATAACCTAGGCTCTGATACCAACTTGTAACGCCCGCTCATCGCCAACGCGATTAACAGGAGTTACTATCGACAATATTAAGAGACTCCGATACCCAATCATAAAATTAAAAATATTTCTGAAAACATCCAGTAAAGTATTTCTATAAAAGAAAAAAAACAGTACTTTACAAAAAACTTAAAACGACTAAGGTAAATTCTTGACAACGGAAACATAATTACAGAACAGACCCAGACATGGATTTCCAGTAGCCTCTAGCCCGCTGGTCTCGTCCTCGGCTGACCTGCAGCATCTACATCTGGAAAGAAAAGTTATAATAATTCTGATGAGTAATTAGATTACTCAGTAAGTAGCTAGTTTATCATTCACAGGTTCATAACTAATCTTTCCAGGTGTTTTTACGTTTTATTCATCACTGACTCCTAGTTCTCTTACTAGGGTCATCTGTTCGTTAATGAGGTATCTCAGCTACCTCCAGCTAGGTTACTGACTCTCTCTCGATATGCTTATCTAGAATTTTCGGACTCGTATGTAAGACTCGCTCTCGGTCAAATACGGCCCGTCTACTAATTGCTCTGGCGGCCTGTTTATCTCATATACCAACGGTCAGGAGTACTCATGCTCCCTGACTTAGCACACAGCGCGTTGGCCAGGAACTCCGCGGGAATTAGTAGACTATCATACTCAGTAAATAAGCCATAGCTCAACCACCAATAAGCATATCTAGAGTCATAACCTTTCCATTAACATGCATAACATACTCACAGTTACTGCATGCTTTCATACATGTATCATGATCAACACGTAGAACATTCTGACAATCGTTTATATCACGCTTACATCACAGGCAAGCAGTCACAATATACAATAAACACAAACTATCATCAAAGCTCATCATAACTTATTAAGCTCTTAATCAGGTAAACAACATACTCACATGTTGTAAAACAAGTTAAGAACTAGTTCAAAGGTCGATACGCTACTTACCTGGTTTCGAATCCCTTTCTCTCTTGATTGTACATTTAATAGGGTATTTCCACACAATTCCTTCCAATTAGACCTATATTTCACCATTTTCACGGTAAGTATAGGTCAATCTAGGTAGAACAGGTCAAAACAAATCGAACGAAACAAACCGGGAACCGAACTGACGCTTCACGCGCCCTCACGCGCCTCTGTGTGTCTGTCCCACGCGCCAGGAGCACGCCCAGTCGCACGCCCAGTCGCGGCCCTCACGCGCTCCTTCTTCTTCCTTGCGTTTTTCTGAAATTTTCCCCTTTTCTGTTAATACCTACTATATCCCGAAGCCATATCCTCCTTCTACGGTTCGAATTTCATCCTGATTCCTTCTACAAATTTGTAGATCTCCTTATTACGTTTCTAACAAGCCATATATCATAACTTATTATACAATACGAACCAAGATATCGAGATTTAAAGGTTCGGTGATATGGGTTTTTTCGTTACCTTCGAATCACCGTCCGATTTCAGCTCGTGGCCGTATCCCCTTCCCCAAATGATTCCTCAGCAACAACTCCTCTTTCTTTACCCTCGATTAATGTCCAATTTTAAGCAACCAAAACTCGAATTCTCAAAAATTTCCTCCTCTGTTTTCTGGGTTTTTCGCTAATCACCATTCTTTGTTTTTCTTCTTTTTTAAAAACCTAATACAGCCCTAATACGCTTCCACATCCTTTATCTTCCTCTCTTTTCTTTCTTTTCCCTTCACACCTGTCCATTCTTCCTTTCTCCATGGCAGCAGCTTCAAGCTGCTGCTGTCTTCTTCTTCTTTTCTTCTTTTTTTTTATTTATTATTATTATTATTATTATTATTATTTATTTATTTATTTTTATTTTTATTTAATTAATTTGTTAATTTATTAATTTATTTATTATTTTCGGGTTATTACAGGCCGATTGTCGATTGTCGATTGTCGATTGTCGATTTGAATATCTCATGTAATGTCATTGTTCAACCTTAGAGTTGTCCCATGTCCCAGCGGGTTAGGTGCAGGTTGAGGCAAATTTGTGCTTCAAGTAGTGTTTTTGATTCATTTGGGCCTTCCTAGATTAACTAATGGAATGAAACAAATGGATATCTTCTCCAATGAAAAAGGTGTTTTCTTTCATAAAATTAGCTACTGAGACAAATGCATTAGACAAGGAGAGCTGCGAAATTCCAACTCGAACTACTATCTTCTCTATGCCTATATAGGCTGATCGTACAACTACTAAACGACCTAGAAACGAATTTAAGTCACTTAAAAAGAAACGTAATATGCAACTTTACGATCATTTTTAATATCCAAAATCTTTACGGTAATTATTAATTGAAGAACCATGTTAATAGAATCCTCAAATATTGAACAAAGAATTGTGAGCCTCGAAGGTGTAGTCAAAAGTGACTAAAGTGTCAAACAAAGGGTTTGCTTTGTTTGAGGGCTCTAGAGAAAGGAGTTGAGCCTCGATTAAGGGGAGACTATTTGAGAGCTTCACAAGCCTCAGGAGAGGCTTATAGTGTACTTTGTTTGAGGGGAGAATTGTTGAAACAAATGGTGTACTTTGTTCGAGGGCTCCAGAGAAAGGAGTTGAGCCTCGATTAAGGGGAGGCTATTCGAGAGCTCCATAAGCTTCAGGGGAGGCTTATAGTGTACTTTGTTTGAGGGGAGAATCGTTGGGAGTGAGTCCCACATTGATTAATTTAGTGGAAGATCATGAGTTTATAAGTGATGAATACTATCTCTATTGGTATGAGGTTTTTTGGGAAGTCACACGAGCTTATATTCAAAGTGGACAATCAATGATTTATTATTATTTTCTAACAAAGAAATTACCATAATTCCATATAATAAACATTTATTTTAAAATTCAAAAGATGAAATTTTGTTGAAAAGTTAAAAAAGAAAAGAAAAGAAAAAGGATTCGTGAAGTGTAATTGTTTAAGTACCGTCGACAAGTTTGGCCCATATATAATCCGGCCTTGCAGAACGGCGTATAAATACTCTCGTTAAAGCGCTAAGCCATTTCCGTCTTTTCGCTGCCGCCTCTTCTTCGTTCCCTACGTCGGGACACGATTGTACCAATTAGATCCGAGCAGAAACCACTCACCGATGTTCTCCCTCCACTCGATTTGATATCTCGTACAAATTCTTCGTTATTGTACTAGTCTTACGGACGATCGTGCGCTGCCATGGGAGATTACAATGATGCCTTCATGCGGAACCAAAACGCCGCGGTTCAGGCTCGTACCAAGGCCCAGAATCGTGCTAATGTCCTTCAGCTTAAGCTGGTAGGTGGAATGGTTTTCGATGATTATTGTTATTTCTGTAGGAGCGTTCGATTTTGGTTTGTTTGAAGAGAGCTAGGGTTTCAAGAAGTTATTTCGCACTCGTTCATTAGAAGAAATACGGATTTGTCTTTTTGTGTCGCAAAATTATGGATAAATGCTGCTGTAATAGGTCTTGCGTCTTCATGACGATCGGCTTTCGTTTTCATGTTTAGAGATGACAAATTAAGTTTTATCCGTTGAATGGCTCGTAAATTGTTACAACGTGCTGTCAATGTAAGGTGCAGTCTCTTGTTAAGGGAAAAAAAAAGGGGAAAATTATTGTTAGAGGCAGATGGTGTGAAGCGATGACATAATATCATTATTGGGAGTTGAAGTGAGGATTATGGTTCTAGAAGAAGCTTAAAGTGTTTGTAGAACATTCGATTATGGAATCTTTCGGTTTCTTAATTTTGCTTCTTATGCAGATTGGGCAGAGTCATCCCACTGGTCTTACGGCCAATCTCCTGAAGCTCTTTGAGCCCCGACCGCCTTTGGAGTATAAGCCTCCACCAGAAAAAAGAAAATGTCCTCCATTAACAGGTTTTAATTACTTTTCAAAACTTGCATATCATTTATTGATATTTTATGCACTTTTTAAAATTTATTTTTATTTTTACATTTCATTGTTTTCGCGGAGGGATATAATTCTATCTCATTTTGTTTTGAAGGGATGGCCCAGTTTGTGAGTCATTTTGCAGAACCTGATGATCCGGAATATGCACCCCCTGTTCAAGAGGGTGAAACTCCCGTAAGATGATTCACTTCTTAATGATTGTCAGATTGAATTTTAAACCATTCATACTCTCTCTCCAATACATATGTGTTGAGTATATGAATGTATAATAAGGAAAATGAATATTAAGCTTATGACTTCAAGGCTCTATT